AACTACCGTCATATACCTGGACTATTGCTGAGTGCGGCGTTAAACAACAAACCAACCAACCAATTATCACCACAGCACCGAGGACAAATTATCGCCACCAACCCGTTAGGCATTAGAGGGAGGTCGGACATGTTTATCTGAAAGTGATGAATGGATTCTTTTGGGGAAACGACAACCAGCAGCCAAGTATTTCCATTGTTTGGATTCCCTCTACGCGGTATAACAGAAATCTATGCAACCTTTCCCACGGACTGAAATGAGCGAAATTGCTAATAGTTTGACCGAAATCAAAATTAGTAGGATAGTACAATAAAACTGAAATAGCTGTCATAATTTTAGAAATAACAAATGGCGATAACTGTCAGTGGCCAGTGGGCTAAGCATACGTTTTCACACAAAAAAAACAACGTAATATGACGACCACAAAACGTATCCGACTAAATTCTGGTGAAATATATTTCTATACTGCTTGCCCTTCATAATTACTCTTTGTATCCAACATAATAATATGATGGAACAAACCTCCGCAGGCCTTCTTCACTACTCTGTACATCATGGTCTATGTCGTAATACCAAACATAACAACACTGAAACTCGGCGATAGTGACTGGCAAGGTACATTCTAAACCTCGCCTCATCTGAGTAACACCATATAGTAAACATGTGACCATATATTGCAGTGTACTGTATCATTAGAAGTTCATTGCATTTTATTTGGTAAGTGATAAGTTGTCAGGAAGTACTATTTTTACCCTGTCTGGCATACTATTTAATGTAAGCAGTGGTGAGGGAGTTATTGTATTAATATGTTTGAATTATCTGTAAAATTCCGGAATACCGTGGATGGATGTCAAGCGTTATAATGTGGAATATTCTGTGGTGTTCAAGTGACACTGTACTGGTCTGGCACTCTGGAGGGAGCTGGTTGAACTGTCCTGCGCGTCCCTTTGTTATCTCACACTTCGTCTGACATAACTTCACGACCAGCTTTTGTGTGAAGATCCCTTATCACCCGGGATTCCCACCCTAGGGCTATTTCGGAAGCTTGACCACTATTGCGGATAGGTGAATTTTATTACCACTGAACTTTTTGATGTCACTGATGTCATCATATTTTGTATTTGATACTGCCACTGAATATGGTACTTCCAATCTATTGTGTACTGACATTTTTATTGCTGTGCAGTAATTTGTATTGATTTATAAACCTTGGAATCGACGCGACTTTTCAAATTAAACATGCTCCGCTCACAGAACCAATACGATAGTGATCAGAACATAAGTTTCCAATAAAATGTAATGAAGCGATATTTTCAATGAGAAAAAAATATTGGCGACAAAAACTGAACTGTGACTCTTTGAATTAAAACAACACTATGAAAAATATCAATGTTTATTGATAAATGTAATGGTTCTTCCAGGGATAGAAAAGTATTAGTTTTCTAATGTGCCATACGACAATGAAACAGATATTTAGGTATGCCATTTTTATCAAAACAAGTCATTTCATTGTCAATACCCTTTTCATCTTCTTATTCCCCAGGCATCACGGGTGTGTATACTCTATACATTTATCCATCACATCATCGTCATTACTATCCTAATTAGGATTCTGCTTCAGTAACAGATGTTGTCATTGTCATTCCTAATTTTCATTAACTGACTTTTGTGGTTGTGCAGTGACGATATGATCTCATTTTACGTGTGCTTCTTTGAGCCAATACGGTTGCCTGACATGGCATGGATTTAATCTATGACTATCTTTTCTTGATACGCCACCACCTCTCCTAAGGGCTACTATATCTAACAACTTTACTGATACAACAGGAATCGGACCGGTTTTCGAAATTAGCTAACAGTTTGAGCAAAGCAGCCACTGTATCTGAAACAAGACAACATCTTCAGTTAACGTAAAGAAAAACATGTTCAATACACCAGGGAACAACTGCGCTCCATACGTTACCAGGCTGCGTGTGCTTGTGGTAATTGACAATGTGCAGAAAACCATACAACTTTTGTCTACGTCTACACAATACAAGTACCCAATGCACTTTATTGATCAACAGCTCTGTCTTGGCAAACTATGAATTAGTGATATATCTGTGAAAATCAATAGTTAACTTACAGTATCATTTATTCAATAACAGAAACTGTCAGTAACGTATTTATCACCATAGCTTGTGCATGTGCCCTCACCTGTTACGAGGGCACGAGTGGCCCAGTCGTCGAAGGTGTTGCAATTAGCTGTGCAGAGTTGCGTCTCTTGGTCACGGAATAAAGCTATTATCGTTGGTTCGCATCCCGGTTTGTCATTTTTTCATGTGCTCATGGGTTTCACCAAAGTGGTGACCGTCTACGACCTGCATCACTTCCGGCTTTCCTCACAAGCTGACAGACCGTCATATAACTGGAACACTGTTCAAAGTGGAGTTAATAACAACTCACTCACTAACTCACACTCGTCACAGTTGTACACATTCTTATATAAGGTCACAAACATTTCATTCTTCATACTAGCTGTAAGAAATTCTTTACATTTCGCGTATTATCGCTTTGAGGCTGTACTGAAATACATGCATAGAAACAGGTGAGATGAGGTGAAATGGGGTTTAAGGTCGCTTCCAAGATTATTACACTTTTGTAGTGACGTGCATGAACGTGTGTGTGTGTTGCTACCTGTACTAGTCCGGACTGATGCCGATTTATCGTGCTAGCACACTGAGATACCATGCCGCAAATAAACATGAATACCCCACTCGATACCACAGGAATCGGACCGGTTTTCGAAATTAGCTAACAGTTTGAGCAAAGCAGCCACTGTATCTGAAACAAGACAACATCTTCAGTTAACGTAAAGAAAAACATGTTCAATACACCAGGGAACAACTGCGCTCCATACGTTACCAGGCTGCGTGTGCTTGTGGTAATTGACAATGTGCAGAAAACCATACAACTTTTGTCTACGTCTACACAATACAAGTACCCAATGCACTTTATTGATCAACAGCTCTGTCTTGGCAAACTATGAATTAGTGATATATCTGTGAAAATCAATAGTTAACTTACAGTATCATTTATTCAATAACAGAAACTGTCAGTAACGTATTTATCACCATAGCTTGTGCATGTGCCCTCACCTGTTACGAGGGCACGAGTGGCCCAGTCGTCGAAGGTGTTGCAATTAGCTGTGCAGAGTTGCGTCTCTTGGTCACGGAATAAAGCTATTATCGTTGGTTCGCATCCCGGTTTGTCATTTTTTCATGTGCTCAGGGGTTTCACCAAAATGGTGACCGTCTACGACCTGCATCACTTCCGGCTTTCCTCACAAGCTGACAGACCGTCATATAACTGGAACACTGTTCAAAGTGGAGTTAATAACAACTCACTCACTAACTCACACTCGTCACAGTTGTACACATTCTTATATAAGGTCACAAACATTTCATTCTTCATACTAGCTGTAAGAAATTCTTTACATTTCGCGTATTATCGCTTTGAGGCTGTACTGAAATACATGCATAGAAACAGGTGAGATGAGGTGAAATGGGGTTTAAGGTCGCTTCCAAGATTATTACACTTTTGTAGTGACGTGCATGAACGTGTGTGTGTGTTGCTACCTGTACTAGTCCGGACTGATGCCGATTTATCGTGCTAGCACACTGAGATACCATGCCGCAAATAAACATGAATACCCCACTCAGACACAGTATACTGACTCCGAGCCGACGAGTCCTTGTTTTAGCCCCTAATGCCGAGCGCCAGACAGGGTAACAACAAATACCATCTTTTAACGTCTTTGGTATGACGCAGCCGGGGATCGAACCCCGGACCTTCCGCTCTCCGGGCTGGCGTTGGAACTCAAGACCACGGAGACACTCGCATAGCATCAGCCGCGATATAACAAAAATAATGCCACAAGTACATTTAGAATTATGATATATTTCATGGGAAAGGTGTGGAAATCGAAAAGCAAGGACATACCAGACATCATATGTTTATTGCCTAACGTTAGAAACATATCTGGATGGAACACTAGATGGTCCAACAATACAATGTAGAGAACCCCAAGTGACCTGAAGTTGAATCGCGGCACATGCATTTCAGTTCATGACAATAGCTGTATCTATATTTAATAGATACTGTCCACACACCAGCAGTAACAATACTGGCAACCGTGAAGTTTGCTCTGGTCAATAATCCGTCTAAATGTTACAACAACAGCTCCAATGGCGCACGCGATATGTATTACAATATAAGATTTTAACGTCTCTCCCAGCAAGGACAGGTGGTTGGGGGCCTGTATCGGCACCCGGAATCTACACGTGTGTTGTCACAGACCCCTTGAAATGACCCTTTTGACAAGACTATGCTGGCAATTTATCCATAACTCAATAACTGACTTCGTTTCGTGGCATGGTTTCATACGTAGGAGATAGTAATTCTAGGCCATACTAAGTCCTACGTAGGAGATAGTTAGTCCTACGTAGGAGATAATAAGTCCTACGTAGGAGATATTAAGTCATACGTAGGAGATAGTGATTCTAGGCCGTACGAAGTCCTACGTAGGAGATACTAAGTCCTACGTAGGAGATAATAAGTCCTACGTAGGAGATACTTAGACAAAAAAAAAATCACCGTGGCCCTACTACGCTTCCGTAGTATCGAGTCTTGTGAGCAGGAAATTATAAAATCTTTTAGGTATCACGTAAATTGTTCAAATGTATTAATGCAGACAATCCAGAGGATCCATGTTGTCGCGGAAGACTGACACATCCTAAATATTAGTTGGCTGTGATCCGGAAACCACACAGGGTTATTTAAGTGAATTTATATCAACGTCAGAGAATAATCAGTCTCGATTTCCGCCGAAACAGATCCAGTTGCGTGTAAACGGCAAAAAAGCGGTGTAAACTATATGAATGGATGCGGAAAATCGATGCTTTGGAAGGCTATATAAAACGTCTGTCTAACAGAATATGTACAGATGCGACGCACGGAACTATAGCAGTACAAAGGAAGCCGTGTGACTAGTACATGTGACAATCAACTGAAATCCTTGAAGATGGTGCCGATAATATTATATTTTATAGTAACTTGTATTTGTCCAGTTCAACTACTTTGCTTCAATGAAGCAGGTATCATAGCAGATAACCGTTATTTGGAAAACAACTTATTTGGCATCATTAAGAGGAGAGTGTCCTCTGCACGTGAGTGTGCCGTTGAATGCCATGCCCATCTTGGTTGTTTCTCATTCGGATTCGAACCTGTACTTCACACTTGCCACCTTAACAAGAAAGACAGTTCAACAGCACCAACCGACCTTGTTGCGAAACCACAATGGAAACACAGTGATATTTCTCTCTGGCCGAAGGTATGTATGCATATGTGTTCAGGGAGATATTGCCGGAACCGTACAATGGACACTGTTGTTTTCGGCTAACGATGCATATTGTTTAAACATGTATTTGTGGGGGCATGGATGGACCGGTCGTCTAAGGCGCCGCAATGCGTTGTGCAGAGTTGCGTCACTTGGGAACGCCGGAAACCTATGATTGTTGGTTAACAATACAATGTAGAGGAGCCGAGGTGACCTGAAGTAGAATCGCTGCATATGTATTTCAGATCATGACAATAGCTGTGTCTTTATTAAGTTGACCCGTGAAGATTTCGGGGTAGAATAGGTCTTCTGCAACCCATACTTGCCGTCAAAGGCGACTATGCTTGTCGTCAGAGGCGACTAACGGGATCGGGTGGTCAGGCTCGCTGACTTGGTTGATGAATGTCATTGTATCCCAATTGCTCATGATATCAAACACTCAATATTTACAGACCGCCATCATATACCAGTAATATTGCTGAGGGCGGCGTTAAGCAACAAACAAACAAAAAACATTTGTTCTATATATTAAGTGCACCACACCTTTTCCAAAAAGCTGTATCCACGTGCACTCTTGCTTATATAGGCGGTGGGCATTTTAAAACATAACATTAACCATGGGAATGAAGATAACTGTTACGACTGATATTTTGTTTATTCCAAGGAGCTGATGGGTCCGTGCGCAGATCACACGTGTCCTCCAGGGACGCGATGCAGTGTGCATCGTGTGACACAGGCGCCGCTGTGTTTGGAAGGTAGGACTTGGTTCTTAATGACATCATTGGTGTTCATTTACCCAGAGACGGATTCTGACAATCATAAAAAGAATTTACCATCTGCGTTCAAAGAGACGTCAGTTTACAATAGCTCTTCACTGATTCGGGGACTCCCGTTTGGGGTCCGGGTTAGAACTGATTTCATGGGATCTCTGTTGGTTGTTAACGGCGACTTAATGAATCGTGTGACATGCATCGATAGCGTGCCATTGTACCACGGCGGCGTAAGTTGTTGCTGATTGTTATGGTGGCCAAGAGGGGACATCGCTTTCTCGCTTTATCGCTCTATCGCTTTCTCGCGGTTAAGCAATATCCCCTCTTGACCACTATACTATAGGGGCCGCATGTGATATCTGCTGCAATTGGGAGGGAATGTTGAACTTTTCTCACTGTTTACTTAAAACATAATATAACTGTACAGACGTAGGTGATTTTAAAACAATCCACAGAGTTTTGCGTAAAATGTAATTGATTGATTTACGGCCCTATTCAGTTGTATATGACCATCACGCCAAAAGCGCATGGCAGAGCAGATATTCGGCTTCAATTCCAAATTTAATGACCGAAAAAAATAATTCTTTGGAACGTTCCAAACAATGGCTGATAAAACTGACAATTATTTGTCAATATATGATCTCTTTTTTTATCAGTTTTAAGATTGATGGAGGAATATTGGTGAATGGGTAGGTGGGTGGGGGTATTATGGACAAAATGAAAATATGAACAGTGACTATTCTGTTGTAGTCTTTGAATCTTGCTTATTTACCACATTACAGGAAAATAAACACGCGTGTATATACAAGCTAAACGAGAGAAAAAAATGTATGTATTTGTAACATATTCATCTACTACAAGATGTCAAAAATTCTAATTATAAAAGGCAAAATAGCGGGGAGAATTTTAGGAATGGATCACCAAATATCCGTCAAAACCGTTTTAATGTACGGCATAAAGGGAAATATCGCTTTCTCACTCTATCACTTTATTGCTTTCTTTCTCTATTGCTTTCTCGCTCTATCACTTTCTCGCTCTATCTCTTTCTTGCTCTATCGCTTTCTCACTAAATGGCTTTCTCGCTCTATTGCTTTGTCACCGCGCTATTGCTTTCTCGCTCTATCACTTTCTCTAATAACCATAGTCATATGAAAGAATCAGGTGTTCTTTAACTTCTTTTGAATAGTATGTACTGTAAATCTGGAAATTAACGTTAGAGTTAATTATAAATGTAAAAAAATGAGAGTAGACTTAATTGATTAAACTTTGCAATTATGTCTCAGAAATGACTGTTGATAAGACGGCCTCACTGCAAACTTTGAATAACGGAAATACCAAATTGAATATAAAACCAATCAACTATCCATTTCCACATTACGGTTACTGAGAACAATATGTCATCCAAAAACTAGAAATTACATAATGGACATCCGGTAGTATTAACGTTGCTTGGGTGAGGACTTCAACTTTGATGACATCTACTCTGCAAACAGAATAAACATTGATATAACCTGAGTGTTGTTTTTAGGAAAACACGTCTGCACTGCTAAATTATGTTTAAGTAGATAGTGAAAAATTTCAACATTCCATCCATATGCATAATTTGAAATTTGACTGGAAAAATCTCAACTCTCTTTTATGATTAAAACCCACCTCAGCCACTGAGGTCAGGTTTTGCAATTCATTAATGTTGTTTTACGTATATGCTTTTTATCGTATAGAAACACATAACACATGCGACCCATATAGCGGCCAAGAGGGAATATTGCTACACCGCGACAAAGCGATAGAGTGAGAAAGCGATAAAGTGAGAAAGCAAGAAAGTGATAGAGCGAGAAAGTAATAGAGCGAAAAAGCGAAGAAGCGATGTCCCCCCTCGGCCACCATAGATTGATGTGTCTCGCACCATAGCACCAATGTATGTTAAACATGTATACACGTTGGAAGATTTTGGTGATTGTGACAACTTAAAGTGTAAATGAATTGCACGTATTTTCGCATAAGTTGATTTACGACTTCTTCTTTTCTAAACCTGATAACGCATTTATTTTTTGTCTTTTGTGAATGGTCGGTAGGTATTGAACAAAAATATACTACTCAAATATAGTTAAGAGTCATGATACGCCGTAAAAGGCGACCATGCCTGTCGTAAGAGGCGACTAATGGGATCGGGTGGTCAGGCTCGCTGACTTGCTTGATGCATATCATCGTATCCCTATTGCATGGATCGATGCTCATGATGTCAAAACACCGGATTGTCTGGTCCACACTCGATTATTTACATACCACCGCCATTAAGCTGGAATATTGCTGAGTGCGGCGTAAAAAAACAACCAACCAAACAACCTTTGTCTTTTGGATACACGGCAAAATCCATAACAAGAAATTATATAACACGTTTACTATTTGTATTGTTAGGGATGTTTCAAAATTAAACATATGTATTTCATTGAGTGATTATTGTATATCGTCACATCAACAATCATCCAACTGTTCGTGTCGATTGTTCCTCAAGATCATGTCTCACATTTAACCTAGATAAGTAATCATGGGCGTCCTGTTATCTCGCAGATTGTTTTCTTCATTGGTGTCACTTTATTATAAAGTCACACATTAAAATCTTACTTCCCTAAGCATGGTCAAATGTGTTTAAATGCTTGCAAGTAAACAGATTAACATGTATTTACGATATGTGAAAAGAGCTTGATCTCATGGCATGTGTCAAGGTTATCCTTGTGCTGTACTATGAGGCGTAGTTCAGATGAAATATTATTAGATAATCATAAACTTTTCCTAAAGACTAGATTTAAATCTCACAGGTGATGTATGAATCGGAATAGTAGTTAGAAATGGATATGCAGATCATATAACTGTGATTGACACTGAAATAGACCGTGTTATGTGGGTAAAGAACTCAGGATCTCCATTTGGCTTGTCTCATGATCTCTACATAGGAGTTGTGTATGTGCCCCCTGAGTTATTCAAGTATTCATATGAAGATATATTTCAGGACTTTGACAACAGTGTCGTGAATATGCTTTGTGAAAGTGACTTAGTTATGCTGATTGGTTTCTTTACTATTTGATAGTGATTCATTAGCACCAACTCATAATATACTATTGGATAGTGATTCATAAACACGTCATGATATAGTCGGAATCGTACAATCGACTCTGCTTTATGCAGAAATTTCTATTGGATAGTGACAGGATTTTGTGGCTTTATTTAATGCCGGAACAAGACTTCTTTGAGATTATTGCACATTTGACAATCACATTGTTCATGGCCCAGATACAGATGTTGATATGATGAGACAAACTTGATCCCGGGTCAGTGTATGTATGCTAAGAGAAAGATCCAACATGGAAACACAAATGCATACAACTGTTGATTTAAGCTGGCTGATATTTTTTAAATAATTGTAATTTATTTATTTGTAATGGAAGAATTGGACAAGATAAGAAAGTGTATAAGGTAACATGTTGGGACACCAGTGTGAATGATTATGTTGTTTCTTCTGATAAGTGTTTACCTTTTACTACAAGTTTTGCTGGCGAATGCATACATATTGTCGTAACTGCTTTCGGGTGTCAAGTGCGACCCTACTACAGTTACTAAATATATTGCTGTTCCTGGTCATCATGGTTAATTACGCCATGACTTTGCCCCTCGCCTTGTCCGCAGCGGTTCGGCTCCGTCAAGGAATGATTGGTCTAACGACGCTTACTCCAAGTTGTCTCTATCAGCATTCATACTCACATAATAAAGAAACGCAACACCAGCTTTATACTCACATAGTTTTACTTACTCTCAACCCATCTATCAATACAGGACAGGATCAGACTGGCCAGACTCGTCACTAAATGGGGAAAACTTAGAACGATCGGGATTCGACTCGATCGATTTCAAACCGCGCTCTCCTCTCCTAATGTTAAAGTATAATTTTATAGTGTTCGGGCCTGGCCTGTCTTTGTCACATGTCACAATACTTCATTTTGATTCGTTAAAAGTTAGATCTGACCATGAACTCATGTGTGTCGTAATCGGAAAAATACAGAAACCTACGTGCCAGATTGCTCATCTCTCTATTGATTGTGACTCGCTCCGGATGCTCCAAATGACATATATCTTGCATCTCTCTGCTTGATTCAGTAACTAATGGACGATTACCTGGAACCAGTCCAATGATAAATATGAACTGTCAAGAATACACTTGTGATAAATGTGAAATGTCTTTTATCTATTGATTCCTTACGAACTAAAAGTTCTCTGTCACAAACTATATCTAATGCAACTCCTCACTGCAGCTATAACAGTTTTATTTGTTACCATTTTCTTATGTTTTTTAGATGCATATTTAACCTTATAACAATATTTATTAGTATACGAAATCTATTTTATCATTGACAGTGCTTATAAATATACACAGTTATACCTGAACACAATAGTATTGTATGACCGTAAATGTAACACATCAACACCACAGAATAATTTGCCACGATTATCTGCCGAAAAGGGGGTAAAAGTCAACCTAGAGGTGAAAATTATGTGAAAAGATCACTGAAACTGAGAGATGACATCAGGCGTTCGCGATAAGGTTAAAATGTACTTTTCGCTAAAAAATGTAATGTCCGTTATTTTCATCATAATCATGTAATTAGCAAGTTTTATTAGCCATATGTTGACAACAACTCATTTTTCCAGCGAATTTTTTTAAGATTCCCGTCTAGATCTGGTCTTGTTTTTATTTTATTGAGTGAGTGAGTTGGGTTAGTTTGAACAGTATTCCAGTTAATTCACGGCGTGTCAGTTTAATGTGGAGGAAAGCCCGAAGTGGTGCAGATTTGTTACGTTTACTTATGGAATCTTAGAAGGGACATGTCGCATTGTCACACTGTCGCCCTAACAAAAACAAGCAAAAAGTGTCAAAATAAACGACAGCCCAACAATGCAACAAAGTTATATTTTGGCCATTTGTCGCATTGTTGTGCTTTAAGTAATCTTTTTTATTTTACCGAAAGGCGACAATGCAACATTATGCAAAATGCAAAATTATGTCGCATGCTGGATATCATGCTCAAAGTGCATATTATTCCGGTCTATACAACCCAAGCTGCCTTTGATGTAGGGTAACTGTAGGTATATGTTTAGTAGTGGCATTGCCAATATATTGCCACCATACAGCGATGAAGCGAAAATAATAAAACCATTCACCATATTCAATCAGTAGAACAATGCACGCTAAGTATACACAATATCTGGTATACAAATTAATGAGTTTGGTAGTAGCTGTAATTGCGGAGTCGAGCCACACCAGGTAAACAATGACAGTCTTTGCCAAACTACAACGTAAACAACTGACATGTCGAGGATCATTATTCATCAGAACAATATCGATTTAGTTGTTTGTGATGTTAAACTTGTCATCGGTATAAAACTATTACCATTTGGTTACTAGGGACACATGTGTTTTGTTGATAGGCAACCAACTCCCTACACGCCAGTGGAACACTTGAGTTGTATTGATAACCACTCAATCCAAATACTTAAGTTGAGAAACCATGAGAATCTGAATCGAGTGATTTCTCCAACGTAAATTGGTTTGTGGTTGTTGCCTTTGCACAACATTCACGTTCAAAATGGCACGTCCACATGCACGTTATCATATTGATTCTATTGTTAACACATATAATTCCATTTTTCCCGCTTTTACATGTCTTGAACGTTACCCAAACACAGGCACCCAATAATCTTTCCTATCTTGTCAATAATTGACTTTCAACGACTGAAGCATGAAGACCCGTGGGAGAATAAGTCTTCAGCAACCAATGCCTGTCTGGTCCAGATTCGATTATTTGCAGACCATCTTCATATAGCTGCATTTAACAACAAACAAAAAAACATGAATAAGTGATCAGCTGAGTAAATGAATCAATCTAATGTTACCTTTTGAGCTCCTTGTTCACATCACAAGCATGGCAAAGGCTGTAATGTTTGTATGTTGTTTACTGCCTCATTCAGCAATATCCCAGCTATATGGCGGCGGTCTGTAAATATTCGAGTCTGGACCAGACAATCCAGTGATTGATATCATGAGCATCGATCCACGCAATCAGGATGGATGACATGTATCAACCAAGTCAGCCAACCTGACCACCCGATCCCGTTAGTCGCCTTTTACGACAAGCATAGTCACCTTTTACGGCAAGCATGGTTTGCTGAAGACCTATTCTTCTCCGGAATCTTCACGGGTTTATAATCAGGAACAGGGTGTCACACAATGCAGAATTTTTACGGCTCTTTTTTTAAAAATAGCATGTCAAAGGTTTTATTTGATCCAGTAGATGGATCACTTTTTTGTGGATGATTTAAACATTTCTTGTCGTGGTAGAAATATGCATACCATAGAGAGACAGTTACAAATCTGTCTCAAAATTCACAAGAGGTCCCTTGAAAATTGGTTTATTAAAAAACAAATGGTACACATATCTGCTGAAAATAGAAGCCGAATAAGGACCCTAACCTATTTTTGATTGGCACCACTAAAGTGGTACAGGAGGCCAAGTTCTTGGGACTTATTTTCGGTAGCCATCTTACTTTGTTACGGCTTATAAAATACCTTAAAGGGCAAGTTCACACGGAAATGAACCAATTTTTCTCGTACTTTTTCCACATTAAAAGTGTTAACATAGAAGTGTCATAGACAAAAATATAAAAACATCATATTTAATTAACATATTTTTTGCATTAAACGATTTATATTTTTCACATTTACTAAGTGTTCTATTTCCATAACAAAAACACCATGGCTTATGCCCCTTGCAATATGACGTCATTGGTGCCAATTGATAAACATTATGACGTCATCATGTTTTGTTAGAGCCGCTTCACGTGGTGTAGGTACAGTTTTGTGATTTTAGCGTCTCAGATGCCAGCCAGAATTGTGTTATACTGAGTCACCACTGCGCCGGAGTGTGTCGTAGACCATGTTGTTTTACATAAAAACTGGTCCTTGATATCTTTTGCGTTGAGAATAGACAGGGACCCAGTTGAATTAGCACCAATTACGTCATAATCTAAGGGGGATAACTCAGGCCTGTTTTGCTCGTAAAACGAAGGCCTCATAACGGCATATCATTTTAACACTATTGTGAGCTTCCTACTTTCACTGTGAGAAAAAATGAGTGTATATTTTCAAACACAGATACTAACTAATTCTAAAATTGCGTTTTGTTTAGAAAAAGAAAGAAAGTGATTTTTGCGTGTACACTTCCCCTTTAAAGCCAAATATCTGAAGAGACTTGGTTTATTGAAACTAGTCTAATTCAAAGTGGGAAAGGGATCAGACAACCCTCTTATACTTGTACTGATCAGTGATCCGTTCTAAACTTGACTCCACGGTGGAGCTTGTAAAAGTAATTTACAAAAACTAGATACTATCCATCATCAGGGTCTGAGAGGCCTTTAGAACTTCTCCCATTCAAAGTCTACATGTGAAAGCAGATGAGCAGTCCCTTAACCAACGCTGTCTGAAATTGTCCATACATTTCATCACTAAATTATATACGTATCAGTTAAATCCAGGTTTTGGGTGCAACTCTTATTCGACCACTTGGAATAAGAATTAAATCTGTCGTTTCCGCTGCCAAAATTAACCTTTAAGATATAGCTCCCATTCAACTTTTGTCATCCAACTTAAGAAACTTCGGGATGGTGGCGCATTTGTGGGTGCCACTGTCATTGGATCCATAACAATTTCTTTACGATTGCCATATATCAGCTCAATATTCACAGCAGAAGCAAACGCCATTTTAACAGCACTTAAATATATCCATAACCAATCCATACATAAACAATCCATTATTTTTTCAGATTCCCTGTCGTGCCTTCAGGCTGTTGAAACTATTTCATATAAACATCCACTTCGAATCCAGATTTTTTAATTATTTAAGGAGTTTGCTACTGGCAAATATGACATCGTCTTTTGTTGGTTACCCAGCAATGTTGGAATCATTGGTTGCCTAATGACCGATGCTGCTGCAACAGGAGCACTCAACAAATCTGAGCGTCCACTTCTGATCATATACACTGATTATAAACCCGTGATTAAATCTCACATCCGAGATCTAGCAAAAGAAGTCGGACACCCAAGTAGGTATTAATAAATTACATGAAATTTAACAATATATCGGTGAAACCTACTCCGGTTGTCAGTCAATATATGAAGGGGCATTTTACAACGATGTCATATTGGCCATACCAGATATACACGTGAGTGAGTTAATGAGTTAAAATTAAAAAAAGTGGATGCTTGCTGTGAATGGTGACTTTGCTTGGCGTAAGAGGCGACTGACGGGATCGAGTGGTCAGGCTCACTCACATAGGTGATGTATGTAATCGTATCCCAACTGCGTAGATCGATGCCCATGATGCCTATCACTGAATTATCTTGTCCAGACTCGACTTTCATACAGACAGCCGTCATATAGCTGGGATATTGCTGAATGAGGCGTTAAACAACAAACAAACATTACAGCCTTTGCCATGCTTGTGATGTGAACAAGGAGCTCCATAGATAACATTGGACTGATTCATTTACTCAGCTGATCACTTATTCATGTTTGTTTGTTTGTTGTTAAATGCCGCACTCGGCGATATTCAAGCCTGTCACTGAATTATCTTGTCCAGACTCGACTTTTTACAGACCGCCGTCATTTCGCTGGAATATTGCTGAGTGCGGCAATACACAACTACAAAAAATAAAACAAATATCATTCCTTCTACTATGTCAATCAATAAATCTAACTGTCGAGATTTGAAACGCATGCATGTGCGCACCAAAACCCCCACATTTAAGAGAATGTTTCTACTACACAGCTGATGTCTATAAACCGGATGTATGTTCCGAAGACCCTATTCCAAACGCAACCTGTAGTTCTGAGTCCAAGATGGCAGGGAGTATCAGATCTTGTACCTGTCACAGCAACTACAGAGATGTACCGCTGGACGTCGTCAGTGTCAACAACACCTGCCTGGTCAATGGCAGCTGGACTCCACCCTTGATTAACTGCACAGGTAAACCTTAATCATTATGTAAATCATCGTGGCTTTGTTTAGTCAGCAACTATTTGTTTTGTTTTGTGGTGTAATCATGGACACTTGTTAGCCGAAGTGCAGTGATTCAGCATCCCTTCATTGCCAAAACCTGCTGGTCGTAAGAAAGAAACCCGAATCAGATCCTAGTAAATTACTTAATATGTAAGCAGTCTTGGCTTGCACAGTTGAACATCAGTTTAAAGCAACGTTAATTAAACGATCACGTTTTTCGTGACTTTCACTATTAATTATTATCATGTCTAAATCATTTCATTTCCAGGTCCATACATCAGACTGACCACGCCTAGTATCAGCACATACACCTTCCAACAGATATCTGCCAGCAACCTACACACAATAACAGGCGGCACCTCTACCATGGTGTTTCTGGTCAAGGCGTGCCACGATGCCAACTTTGCTCTACACACAAGTCCTAACAACTACACCACTGATGTGTATGAAGTGGGCTTTGGTGGGTATGCGAACACGAAATCCTTTATTCGTGAATGCATTCAGTGCAGTATCATGGATTCCCATATTGAATCATCTATTGTATCATGTAACGAGTACAGACCATTTTGGCTCAGCTGGAAGAATGGCGTCATCTCTGCGGGAAGAGGACCGGTTGCTGGGACCCAGAAATTCTTGCAATGGACGCCAACTCAAGCCATTGTGATAAATCACGTTAGTATCAGTACCTTTCGTAATAATCCTGGTACGTGGCTCTTCCGAGGGCAGTAAAATACTCACCAATGAAGAACCTCATGACTGCGCTTTTTGTCACCCTTCAACCCCGTGTTATCATTTACTTGTTCCCTATCCTTACTCTCGATATGCAGCCTTTTATACCCCGAAATATACAGACACTATGATCAAATCCCACCGTTGACAAAATATATATAGTGTTGTCTGCTGGCATTAATGATACTGGCTACAACAGGGGAACTACACTGAAGGACATTTCGCATGGAACCAGGAACAACGGTAATTGGAGGCAGGGTGAAGAAAACTGAATTGACCTTCGGCCTCAATCACTCCGCCCGAGCACGAGAGAGAAGACAAACTATAGATAGAGGGGTGGCCTGGGCCAAGATGATTGTAGGGTGTTTCAAAAAGGTTCACCTACAATTTCCCCTTTGTTGACTGGGTCCATAAAATTTCTGGGAGCTCCCTGGGAGCTCTAGATTTTGGGGACTTCCCAGAATCTACGCCCCTTTCCCAGAATCTACCCCCAGGGGGTATAATCTGGGAGTTCCCAGAATCTACCCCGGTGTATAATCTGGGAGCTCATCCCAGAATCTACCCTGGGTTATAGCTATAATCTAGGAGCTCCAAGAATCTACTGCAGCCCTGTTTGATTGAAACATTTAAACATTATTTCATGAATGTCCTTGTAGTTTTCTTTTGGGGGATGCATCTAACTCAGTCTTGATCTCTCCTGGTCAATTTCCGTAACAACATTGTCATCTCATGTCTCTAATTAGTTTTAAAACATTCATATCCCAGAATCTACCCCCAGGGGATATAATCTGGGAGTTCCCAAAATGGTGTAGATAATACCAGTAATGAATTGTTATCGAATTCAAATATTCAAAATGTTGTTTTATACATGCAAAGAAAAAATAAATATTGTTTAAACTAACAAAAAAATATCTTACAAATCACATTGACTGTAACTCATTGTAGTCATCATCAATTTGTAAGTTTAAAGTTGGTGTTGAGAATTGTGTGAGGAAATGTCTTACACTTATGTTATTGAATAAGCTTTAATATGCTTTGTGAATAGACCTACCTACTTTTGATTGCATGTAAAATCATTTTGAAACCAACTTGTGTCTGTAAGTACCTTTGTTTGGGGAGGCATGTATCACAGTATAAAGAATATATTCTGACTATAGAAAACCATCATTAAAACCATCTAATTATTTGTCCATTTACATTCTATTTCTTCTAAATATAGTCAGATGGGTGTAATAAATTTCACGAAGCAATTGTCATTGTTTTAGTCAGAGTTTTTATATTATTATCAATAACAAATAGAGAAAACTAACATAAAATATGAGAGCAATTTATTCTGAAAACCAATATCCATTGATTCCTTGAATTATTTAATGTCGCTGGACATTTATTACAACGTCAAAGTGTTCATGGAGGTTGGTCAGATACACAGCACCAATGGACAGTTTCTCAAGTGTGAATGATGCTGGGTAGCATAGCCATTTCAGCTCCTTTCCATAATGCGTATAGACAACAATGTCAGTTTGCAGAAGAGAAGCAGTGGCCATAATCTCTGCATCCGACTGCATAGACCTCTTGTATACACGGGCGGTCGGGTAGCCTAGTGGTAAAAGCGTTCGCTCGTCACGCCGAAGACCCGGGTTCGATTCCCGACATGGGTACAATGTGTGAAGCCCATTTCTTGTGTCCCCCGCCGTGATATTGCTGGAATATTGCTAAAACCGGCTTAAAACCATACTCACTCACTCACTCACTTCAACCTGGTATAATAGCCCGTTACATCAATGTAAAAACGACATCTCACAAGATGATCTTTTGCATCTGCTTTCTAAATGTGATAATGTGTATGTTAACATCAGAGTTGATTTCAACTCTAGGACTGGCACACTACCTGATTTTGTTGAAGATGATATCCTTGAATTCTTGGAAGAGTGTGAGTATTACATAACTTTAACATAAAACGATTTTCGGTAGGTTCTGCTATAAACAGGTTTGGTAAATGTTTGTCAGATATGTGCAGTATTCTTAACATTTATATTATGAATGGAAGATGTGAATCAGACCGCATCGTCAGTGGTATGATAGTTGTTGTGTTTTTAATAAAAAAAAAGAAAGATGTAGATGTTTACATATATTTCGAAGGAAAAAAGATTTGGTTTCATAAGAAAATTATCAGTGCATCCGGAATCAGTATAACGAAACATGTAGAAAAAAGAAAGTTTAATATTATAAAATGAAACAGGAACTTCTTGAGAAAAGCGTTCATAATTCAAAAGTCTTTTGGTCAACTCTTAAAAAGCTCCTAATATTCATAATGATATTGGTATTGAAAATTGGTATGATCAGTTTAAAAAGTTATTTATAGCTCATGATGACAGTGATGATGACTTTCTTTCTGGATTTGAAGATGACAGTAAAACATATGATGATATCCACTTATAACGAGACATCGATTACGAGTGATGACATAGGAGAATGACAAACTTATTTCAGATTTTTTAAACATTCTACAGATATCCTTGTACCATTGTGAGGCATTGTGTTATCAAGCATTTTTAGCAAAGTATTCATATATATTAATAACAAAAGGTTAATATTCTGGGCTGATGCTTCGGAAAAGATTAATGAGTCTCAGTCTGGTTTCAGGCAAGGATACTCGACAACTGATAATATATTGTTGTTGCAAACAATATTACAAAGGTACCTAGCAAAGAAGGGTTGTAAATTATACGCATATTTGTAGATTTCTCAAAAGTTTTTAATTCTGTTAGCAGAAATAAATTATGGTCACGTTTCAAAGCACATGGTATTCGCAGTAAAAATGGAAAGTTAATGTGCTGTGTATCAGAACGTAAAGCTTTATGTGCGAAATAACAGTACTGTGTCTGACACATTTGAAAACAAAATTGACGTTAAGTAAGGGTGCATTTTAAGTTCGTTTTTGTTCTCCTTCTGTATCAATGAATTAGCTCAACAAATTCTGCAGAACTGTTCTGATGGCATCCAACTTCATCCGGGCACTATAAAGTTATTTATTTGTCTGCTGGTGATATAGTTATGTTTTCAAGCACAATACCTGGACTACAAAAGCAAATTAATCAGCTGGAATGTTATTGCACAGAATGGAATTTATCTGTCAACAAGAATAAAAAAGTTATTGTTTTTAAAACTGGTGGTACACTAGCTAGAAGAGAGAAATGGTTTTATCAAGGACATTCATTAGATGTTGTATCGTTTTATAAGAACTTAGGTTTATATTTTACAAATAGATTGTCATGGAAGATGCATGCTTACCAAGCTGTTGTACAAGCTAAGATGCTAATTGGAATTCTTCAACATATGAAAGTTCTTGGAAATATCGTCTAAGCTTATGGTCTATGGAGAATGTTGATGTTATAACATGTTATTACCCTATGATCAACAAAGACACACTGACAGGATACGAATATACCAGATCATTTCACTCAGACCCTGAAAGATATGTACATTCAAAATTGGCATTTTTACTTATTAGTATCAAAGAAACTATCAAGTTATTCTGTCTTTAAAAACAGCTTCTGTGGTGAGCAATACTTATTAGATGTGACACTAAAAACATTTCGAATTGCACTTGCATGATTCAGATGTGGTTCAAACGCACTCTTTATCGAGACGGGAAGATATATGGTGAGCATGAGAGAACACACAATTTTTGTGAATTAAACACTGTAGAAAGTGAATACCATTTCTTTCTTCTTTGTCAGTTGTATGCCGAATTCAGAAAACAGTTCATCGGTAAATATTATATCCATTATCCAAGTCTACAGAAATTTCCTGCATTAATGTCAAGTAAGAATGAAGTAATAACGAAAAAGCTGTCAATGTACATATTGCATGCTATGAAGCTAAGAAGCTCCAAATGTATTACCTTAGAAATGTATATACACTTCATAACATTAACTATAGAGAAATGGATATACAAAGACTCACATATAGAGGTAGTTTTATCTTATACTTACCTTGGAATATTGTTTACAAGGACTTTGAGTTGGAATGAATATCTAGAATCTACATCTGTTAAAGCTAAGAAAGTGTTGATGTCAATCCTACAAAGTTTGTTAAAATATGATAATCTGCCCTGTAATTTATACTTTCAGATTTTTATACAAAGATAATGCCAATGTTACTTCATGGATCAGAAATATGGGGTTATAGAAAATATGAGTGTATAGAAAAAGTTCATCTTTATGCGTGTAAACGTGTAATTGGGGTTCGATCGTCCACCCCAAATGGTATTGTACTTGGAGTATGTGGCAGATATCCGTTGTTTATATTTTCGCTTAAGCGCTGTATAAATTATTGGTTAAAACAAACGAGTCTTTCATCCATGCGATACCCAGTAAAAGCCTATAAAATGCTGTTCTATCTGGATCAAAATGCCAGTCACTCACGCAATAAAAATAATTCGGCAACAAATATCAAAATCACCAAATCACCCAAATATTAATTTGTTTTGCATACTCATGTCAACCCTAAATATTACTTTATTACAAAATATTGCATTGTACATACATCATGCATTGTTAGTTAGAAGAAACACCTATACGTTGTAAATACGTGGAACTATGGCCCATGGCCTTTCAGTTTGCAATGAATAAAACAATTTAACTATAGGCCTATGGCCTCTCACTATTATGAATAAACACATTTACAACAATTTGCATTTCTCACGTTGGAGATTGATTAATTGACTGATTGATTTCCCGTTCGCTGAAGCATTACATTACTGTATTCATGCTAAAATCCAAACCTCGACATTATAGAATTTAAGAACAAGGTCAAAGTGCAAATGTAAACATAAGTATAAAAACACGTTGAGCCCCACTAATAACTACCGTTTACCGATCTTGAAAAAAATAATAAATGAAAATTACTAATGGCCATTAGAGAATGTTGAGCTGTCAGTATGGTTGAAGTCCACAGTTCACATGAAGGTCAACATTGCAAAGGTCACCAAAAACGGAACACATATTAATCCCCATTACTCGATTTACCCGACCCGTAAAGATCCGGGTTAGAATTGGTCTTTAGCAAACCATGTTTGCCGTAAAAGGTGACTACCAGGGCTAGATGGTCAGGCTCGCTGTCTTGGTTAATGCATGTGTGACAGAAACGTATTTTCTGTAATGAAAATATTAACTAAAGTTCTATTAAAAAGAATACCGTAACTTATTACGTGTACTCACGGTGACTCGTAGTCAATTTACCACCTTTGTATTCCTTTAAAGGGGCACTGATCTAACGCAATTCCCCGGGACTGGTTGTTGCCTTTGTTATTGTTTTTTCCCCAGTGAGTACCCGGATGTATAGCAGAAATCTAGACTAGTTCGCGACCTCTGCTGCGCCATTCGTAGGCGCATTAGTCACTTTTTGGGTAGTAATAAGGGCGTATGGTCACATTGATCAATAAAATGAAATACAGTTTTGGAGATAATAAGGAAATGTAGGTATCTTTGCAGGTAGCATCGGTAATGGTGACGAAATTTTGATAAGTCACTTGCTTGGTAATTTTGCGATTTTCGTTTACACTATTTTGACTTGCAACACAAAGTAAATATTTCACCTGAGGCATTGCTTTTTTTTATAGTGTGTATATTTTTTTACTGTCAAAATGTGTAACATTTTCAAATTTATTAAACGCCTAAATATTCAGTTATTTTACAAAGTGACTGAAAACATTTCCATCTGTATTATTATGATAACGAATTCCAAACATTTTGATATTTAATGTCATCACCAAGAGACTGAAAATGTTACGTTGAAAAGTACATTTCTATGTTGTTTGGCTTCTAATCCAACATAATAATCTGTTGTGATGTTGTTAGGCCCTTTTGATCGTCTTAATCAATTTTAGTCAATCGGAAGAATTTCCCAACCAAGACGTAGAGGAACAAGAACGAATCGGTTCAATGCTACAGCGAATGAAGGAAAACAAAATGCAAATACCATAATTACAACCTACCAAATTTATGTGTATACACTTTGGGCAGCTTCCTTGGTCGAGGAATGTATCCGTGAATATCCACACAAAGGAACAATATCCCACTCGTCTGCAGCTGTACAAAGAAACTTATTCGATGTCACGTGTCTCTGTAACAATCAAATATTTTTAAAGATTTATATCGTTTCGGGATATTATAACCCGTGTTCCTTTCTCAACTGATCACTTAGATTGTTTCAGGTGTTTCACATAGGTGTCAAGTCTCAAGGGTCGGCTGAGAAAGCCCACGTGACAACTATTTTCATAACGTCCACGGTTCCTAAAAAATCCATTGAGTGATAGATAACAATGAGCAATCAATCAACGTATTATTAGTTAACCCTTTGAACAAAGTATGTTGTTTTTACATCGACACTTCACGCCATGATATGAGTGTATTCCCTTTGTTTTAGTAAACCTAGACATGTAAACACTCACTTTTGACATATCCACTGTGCAAGATAACAGTGATTAATCAATCAACGTATTTTCTGTTAATCCTTTGATGACTAGGAACGATCCGTTGATTTACAAAAAAAGTAAATGAACTGATCATTCACCTCTTGCTGGGCTGCCACGTGCATATTACATAACACACATTTCACCTCA